GATCCTATTTCCCTTATGATGAGCTGGAACGCTTCTGGATGGAGCATCCATTCCGTACGTGACGGGTGCAGTGGTCGGGAGAGAGCGTCTGCTGCAAGTACGTTCTTGGGTCCGGGTATGTCACACGCCTTTGCTTCCTGCGTGATGTGGAACAACTGGAATGTGAGCTGTATCAGGCTTGGAGACTTGTGGATCCTTGCCGAATTATGGAGAATGCCACTGTAGAGTTGTCCGTGTGGACCATCAGCATTCTGTTGTTCAGCAAGCTCGACCATAGTTGTAAGGTGTTGATCACAGCTTTCATCTCCAGCAGATTGATGTGAAGATGCTGCTCTATTTTGGACCAACTTCATGACGCAACTTGATTGTTGAGATGCGCACCCCAACCCTGCGTCGAGGCGTCTGCGTAGAGTTGTGTGTCGAAGGCCGGCTCATGTAAATAGGTCCCTCCGCAAACGTTCGACCTGTGCGTCCACCACAGTAGATACCTCTTGAGGTTGTCTGGTAGCAAGATAGGGTCGACGCTGTCTAGATGTTTTGTCAGGAACTGTTGCAGCGGTCTTAGTTGTAACCGTCCTGTGCGAGTCAAGTCCTGCGCCGAAGTCAGTAGACTGAGTAGACTTGCCATGATCGTAGTGTTAACGGAGAGATGACTGCTGGTGGAATCATGGCTTGTATCTTGACCCAACTATCTTCTGGGACGACAATACGATTCTGTGTTGTGATAAACCTTATCCCCAGAAATTGTAGATCTTGTTTTGGTTCCAACTCTGACTTCATAAGGTTCACCAGCCATCGTAGTTGAGTGAGCAACTTGATTGTGAAGTTCAGCTGTAGTTTGAGTTGACTGGCATCTTGGTGAACCTGAATTCCGTCGTCCAAGTAGAAGGCATTGCGTAGACCTCGATGATGTAGATATGCGACTATAGGCTTGGTTACTCGTGTGAATAGCCACGGAGCCGAAGATATTCCAAACGGTAGGACGTTCCATTGGAAGTGCTGCCCTCTGAATAGGAATCGTAGATACTTTCTTGATTCCGGATGTATAGGGATGTGTAGATACGCATCCTGCAGGTCTATGATGGCCATGTAATCTGCTGGACGGACGAGCAGTCTGAGTTGAGGTAGGTGGATCATTCTGCACCTCTCTGGTTTCAGTAGATAGTCTTTGTTGAATTTGCGCATGTTGTAAATCAGTCTGAACTTCTCCTTGGAGTTCTTCTTGGGTACTAGAAAAATTGGGGAGTAGAAGCCTGGAGTGAGATGATGCTGATCTATTATCTCTACCGCCTCCTTCATAAGTAGTGAGTCGATGGCTTCCTGTAGTTTGTCTGCCTGTTCCTCTGCATAGTTGAAGACCATCGGGCTGACGGTTAGCGGAGGTGTGGCCTTGAGTTGTACTCTGTATCCTTCTCGTAGTACTTGGAAGACGTAGTCGTCCTCTAGAATTCCCCAATTTGTACCTAGTACCTTTGTAGACGTCCACCCACTGTCGATGGTTTTACAGGAACGGCTGGGGGTGGAAGACTCCAGTCGTTCAGAACCCTGATATCAACATCTAGTTCCTCTGGATCCTCTGGGAGTGCGGCCTTTCCCTGAGTTTCCCTTTGTAATTTCCGGTTGGGCGACGAAAAGATCCTGTGCCGCCTCTGAAGTTGGAGTACTTCTTGTCCTTTGCCTTCTGTATGGCGGAATATTTGGACTTGCTGTTGTACTTCTGGGAAGTATGACGGATGACGCTGGCCAGAGTATCTATGGATTTTATCATCATAACTTCTCTAGAGTCGTGCGTAGCTTCCTTAGCTGCATTGTCTATCTCTCGTCCAAAGATAGTAGGCGCCTCCCATGGAGCTCTCAGCAGCGGTTCGGTGAATCTGTCACTCCATGAACAGGATGTAAGTAGCCCTTGTCTGCGACGTAATGTGAGACCTGCAGATATAGATGCCAGATGGTCCGATAAAAAGTATTGGTCCTTCTTCTGTGTTATGAGCGCCGAATATATCATTCTGTCCTCTTCCGAACTTGAGTTCTGGAATTTATTGATCAATGCTTCATTGATGGCTCTGGACCTGGCCAACCCAAAGAAGGATCTCCTTGTAGCAGTATCAAGTTGAGATAACTTTTTATCTTCTACTTATACGTCTTGTTCCGGGAGTCATTGACTAACTTGATGTTATCATCCCAATCAGGCGTCTTTATAAATGGATCCATATGATTAAAGGGGAATCTCTTCACATTAAATGATGGCAGATGCTGACTCTGGTACTTGGATGCTTTCGCGAAAGCTGTGCATAGGTTGGAGGGTACCTTGGATGTAGGTTCAATCGGAGGGATAGTGACGGAGTCAAAGTCGTCGTTACGCATCATATAAGTGTAGACTTCATCTTTATCCTTAGAAGGAGACTCCAAGTTCAACCCGTTGGCAATCCCAGCTGTAACCTCTGCGTCTGGGAAGACGAAGTCTGCTTGCTCATCCAGTATCTCCCCATTATTAGAGCTAGGCCTCCGTGTATCATTCATCTGCGAACCTGTATCCCTTCTCGAACCTTCATCATCCTTTCGCGAACCTCTATCTGTAGATTCATCTCTTCGCGAACCTCTGTGACGTGAGCCTTCTCTTCGCGAACGTCTGTCGCTAGATGTATCCCTTTGTGAACTTCTGTGATGTGAGCCTTCTCTTCACGAGCCTCTGTCTCGAGATGAGTGACTTCGCGAACGTCTGTGAGAGATATGAGGTCTCGATCTAGAGTGGCTAGTGTAGGAGCTGGATCCTTCGATGTTCTCGAACGCTGAGGGTTCGCAGATGTAGAACGATGAGTAGGCATCTCATGTCTTCTATCCTCCTCCAAGATGACAGAGTCGTCCGACTGTGGAGACCTTCACAAAGGTGTACGTTCGCCAACATAGTCTTGAGACGTAGTTCTCTGAGGAGTGTGTTCGCGCAGGTCCGTAGGTTTGCGCACAGTGTCGGTAGATGAGAGGCTTCGCCAAGCCTTCGCTTCTTCCTCGAACCTGCGTTCCATCATGGTCATCATCTGGTTGGTGAATTGTCTCATAAATTCACCCGGGTCAAAGTTCTGCGTTGGATGAAGCTGCTGCGGTGTCGAAGAAGCGTTCACGAACGCTGATGAGTTCTGTGCCTCGATTTCACTCCGTTGAGAAGTAAGTGGTAGTTCGTCAAACAGCTGTTCTGCTGTGACCATTGCAGGAGACGATCTAGTAGTCGTAGAAGTCAATTGAGTCGCTGATCTCGTAGGTACTTCGGGTAGAAGTAATGGGGGATCATCAAAAACGTCTACTTCATGTGGAGGTAAAAATCTCTTCGTTGAAGGATTTCTGATGCATTGACTTACTGGCCCGGGTAGATTTACCCTTCGATCTGGTAACAGATGCTTTCTTCCGCAATGTAGAAGAGGATGACGTCTTTTTCTTAGCTTGAGTCGGAATCAACTGCGTTGTAGCCGATCTCTTCTTAGCCCCCGTACCAGCAGACTGCCCCTGCTACGTACTCAACATAGCACCAGTATTATGAATTTCAGCAGTAGCAAGCAACATACGGTTTGCAGGCTGATCTCATGTTTTATCAGCCATGACTTGAGATGACTTCCTCACCCGATCCATGGCACGTCTATAGATATAAGACAAATATTGATTAAATTGTAGATTTGATAAATCAACACAATAAGTACAGTGCAAGCTGGAAGAACATGGTTTTATGCACGAAACGCATTGGGGGTGAGGATCAGCCACGGATAACCTGTGCCTGCAAACACTGCAAGATTTCATGAAATGTAAACAAAGTTACATAACGATGAAATTATGACACAAATACAAATAATTTGTACACATTTTTTTACATATAATAGATAGTAGTTATTGCCAGATCCATACACAGCGTAATTTTGAAGAATAGGACCTAAATAAAAAGATATAATGCCATATGGGACTCCAGTGCTCGCCCAAGCATCCACATGGGCGAAAAGGGAGAGAGTGACAAGTAAGGCTGGTCACATGACTGTTTGCGCGGGAAAGGGCAAAAGGGAGGTGAGTGTATTTTTACGTCCGCTTCGGGAAATTCAAGGGATTCAAGTGTTCCACTACCATTCGCAAGGAAAAGGGAGATAAGCAAAAGATCATGAGTCAGGATAAGAAAAAATCATAAAAAAACTGATGCTGTGCTATAACTAACCCCCATTTCAGCTGCCGACACAGGCTGGGGTCTGTGAACTTGTTCTCACCTTGAACAACCCCATGCACTAACATACAGGTTTAACATTTACCTCAAATGTTGGCAGTGAGTTGAGACCTGGGAAGTCTTCGATGTCTCCTGTTTTGATGTTGAAGCAGGCTCCATGCCATGGACAACGCACCTGGCCATTACACAGCACACCTGACAAACAGACCACCAGACATAAAGAGAAACCAGATCTGATCCAGTGTCTAGTGATTCGTAAATCTTTCAACTGACTGTGTGTTTTCAGATTTGTACATAGGTTTACCGACAAAGGAGTAAAAATGGTTTACATAGTTTTCTCCAGGTCCTTTTTTTCTAGGTGGACCCCTGGAAGTCATTGAGGCTGACATGACGTCACTCTGCTACTTCACAATGCAGCACCATGATATCACTATGCTACTTCACAATGCAGCACCATGACATCACTCTGCTACATCACAATGCAGCACCATGACATCACTCTGCTACATCACAATGCAGCCATGGCGTCACTCTGCTACTTCACAATGCAGCGCCATGACGTCACTCTGCTACAACACAATGCAGCACCATGATGTCACTCTGCTACATCACAATGGAGCCATGACGTCACTCTGCTACATCACAATACAGCGCCATGACGTCACTCTGCTACATCACAATACAGCGCCATGACGACACTCTGCTACAACACAATGCAGCACCATGACGTCACTCTGCTACATCACAATGCAGCACCATGACGTCACTCTGCTACATCACAATGCAGCACCATGACGTCACTATGCTACTTCACAATGCAGCACCATGATGTCACTCTGCTACATCACAATGCAGCGCCATGACGTCACTCTGCTACATCACAATGCAGCACCATGACGTCACTCTGCTACATCACAATGCCATGGCGCCACTCTGCCATGAGTGCCATGACGCCACTCTGCTACATCACAATGCAGTGCCATGACGTCACTCTGCTACTTCACAATGCAGCACCATGGCGTCACTCTGCTACAACACAATGCAGCACCATGACATCACTCTGCTACATCACAATGCAGCCATGACGCCACTCTGCTACATGAAAATACAGCACCATGACATCACTCTGCTACATCACAATGCAGCCATGGCGTCACTCTGCTACATCACAATGCAGCACCATGATGTCACTCTGCTACATCACAATGCAGCGCCATGACGTCACTCTAGTACATCACAATGCAGCACCATGACATCGCTCTGCTACATCACAATGCAGAGCCATGACGCCACTCTGCTACATCACAATACATGATGGCGTCACTCTGCTACATCACAATGCAGCACCATGACGTCACTCTGCTACATCACAATGCAGCGCCATGATGTCACTCTACTACATCACAATGCAGCAGCCATGATGTCACTCTGCTACATCACAATGCAGCGCCATGATGTCACTCTGCTACATCACAATACAGCGCCATGACGTCACTCTGCTACATCACAATGCAGCACCATGACGTCACTCTGCTACATCACAATGCAGCCCCATGGCGTCACTCTGCTACATCACAATGCAGCGCCATGACGTCACTCTACTACATCACCCTGTGGGGTAGTTTGTAACATTCTTAAAGGTCACATGCAACCAAAAAATCAAACATAATTAAAACACAATTATCACTTATTCATGACATATAATTTACATTGCTGGTTATGAAAAACATATAAACAAAATTATAAGCGTACAATCGCAAATCAAAGGTGCAATATTTTATACTTGGGTTTACTTTCCAAGAAACGAAGCAGCCGGGATACCGAACCCAGTCAGAGCGAGTGGGTGTGCACTCAAGTGTAACGGCTGGTTCATTAGCAGATGCCCTCACGGCTCATTGTGTGTATATATAGAGATGTGTGGTTTTTTAAATATATGCTCATTTTTTGTGTATAACATTTTGCAATCAACAGACATCATAACATGTCATGTGAAGAAGTATCACACCTACTTGTCTGTGTAATTACATAATGTGACAGAGACCGACCTCGGGCCATAAATCAATGCGTTTTTGTTTATGGTGTATAGTCTGATAGGTGTTAAGTTCAAATTGCACGTGGTCAGTGATCGAAGTTATGTATTGAATATTGTCATTAGCAGACAGGCAGGCAGACACATAGGTGTCAATAAAACAGACATTGAGTTTTGTCTGCGACAACGACATATCTATATCACAGTTAGAAATTCTGTCAACGCTAAATAATGAACATTGCTTTTAAGTATCGAACTGAGAAAGTGACTCAGTAAGAAGAAGGTGTGGTGAAATAGTCAAATGAAATCATATAAACAGTTAATCTACTGTCATAACATATAAAAAGCTTGCGCCTGTGAAATATCAACAAAACATTAGAAAAATAGCGCACACCAAGCCTTCACCGAGTATTCACCGGACAACCCGCTTCCAACCTATTTCACTGCGCATGTGCTATGAGCGCAGCCCAGCTGTTGAAACCACTTCAATTCCCCCAAGTGCCAGGGGAAAATTAGTGAATCGTTTGAACTACGATTTCGCGCGTGTTTTTTCATCGCGTTATTGTTCAACTTTTTAAGTTGAATTTGCATTTTTGATGATTTGTTTCGGTAAATCCATACCGAAAGGTATCAGAATCAGCAAAGTTGTGTTTTATGTTGCATGTGACCTTTAAGCAAACTGTTTTCATTCATATGTAAAGTATCACCATGGGCTGATATGAATCATATACAATAGTTCATAAATATTTTGTAACTCACCATTGGCAAGAGATGCTCCATAGTGGGTACATTTTGGGCCCACAGCATAATACTGGCCCTTTTCTCTCGTCAGCAGCACGTTCCCCCCCGGAACGTCCACCTCCTTCATCCTGTAACATGAGAGAGAATGATTGTCTTGTGTTCTCAAAGTGGTAGTGTAGAAGGGAGGTAACTGGTATTTAAAACATGTTAGTTTAATAGACACTTGGATATTTGATCTCTGAAATAAGACAGATTTTGTTGTTTATAGTTTTAGTGAGGTGAGGTGAAATTGGGTTTAACGTCGTGCTTGAGAATATTTCGCTCATATGACGACGTGCATGCGTGTGTATGTGTACGTGCGGCTGCTTGTACTAGCCCAGACTGAAGCTGGTTTTATAGTGCTAGCCCACTGAGATACCATGCCGCAGTGAAGCATGAATACCCCACTCAGACACATTATACTGACTCCAGCCGACCAGTCCCATTAATGCCGAGCGCCAGACAGAGACCAACAAGTACCATAATTTAACATCTTTTAGTATGACGCGGTCGGGGATCGAACCCACCGTCTTCCGCTCTCCGGGCGGACGCTCTCACCACTACACCAGGGAAGCAGTCAATTATGGTTTTAACACATGCAGACGTCTCTGTGAATTTTCTTAGAACGTCTGGCATTTATTATGGTGATTCTGCTGTATATATTTCAGCAAGCAATTGCAATTGGTCCCTTACTCTCCATCTTTCAGATCCTCCTGATTACAGACAAACACATCATTGGCTGCCATCTTGGTTTGTGAGCTTGGTTGCTGTGGTGATGACCTTGACCCTTTCTCTTCTGTAACAAGGTAAGTCCCTCTTGTTGGGGTCTGACTAGATGGTGTAGTGGTCGGTGTTACCGTTGATGCTGCCAGGGAAAATGCAAAAGTATTATTAAAAAATGACCATCAGTACTGTTGGAGTCTTGTGTGATTTCACCATGTCATAAAAAGAAAATTTGAATTGCAGTCATGTCCTGTCTTAACTAAACTACTTAAAGTCTCAAGTATTTTACTGCAAGAGTTCAGAGTATATCATCCATGTGAACATTCATTTTGAACAAGCATTAGTCATCATAGGATAACATAATTACAAGCTTTGTGCAAAATTTTGTTGCTTCAGTACTTCTGAAAAAGAAAGAAGGGATAGAAATACTTTTTTTTCTAAGTGTGCCTTTGGGCACCAGGCAAATATTTTAACTGTGCCTTTCAGAAATCAAGTGTGCCCACATGTTTTTAGAATGAATGACTGTAGCAATAATGATGATCATTTGAAAATTATTGTTAGTAAACAACAAATGTAACCTGTTTTCTGTTATCACTGATATGTCTTCTGTTTAAGATGGTTTTCTTAAGCATCATTTGTTCTGCTTTCCCAGCACCTTTGATAGCTAAGAATTGTGTGACAGGTTATCTTGTGCAATATATCTAACATACACAATTTCCTCTATAATAACTGAACTATCAGTACTCCCATCACTCTAAATGGAAAAACAACCAGATTTCTTTACATCATCCATCATAATTCCAGTAATTTCCTGGGCAATAAAGTCAATAAATGTTTTTGCTTGTTTGTCATTTGCGTAAGTGTTTTGTTTTGGGGATTAAATGACTAAAGGTGAGTTATGTCTCTTAGAAATTAGGCATGCCATAAGGGCACCGAGAATATTTTTTATCCGTGCCATTTCAACATTTACCGTGCCATGGCACCCTAATATATGGGGTATTTCGAACCCTGGTAAGCCACACAGTTGACTCTATAGGTCTCAAATCATAGGATCAGCATGGTTTTATCTCAAAACATTCAAAATGTTGGTAACAATTCCCATATTAGAATACAGTAATTCATGTTCTGGTTACAACGGACATACCTGGGAAGAGGAAAAAACTTCCATGAATAGTTTTATAATTTTGCATCTGGATTTAAAAATGTAGGATGCTTCAGTGAGTGTAATATATTGAGTATATGTTTTTAAATCACTCTTAGCAATATTCCAACAACATCATGGAGGGGAACACCAGAAATGGGCTTCAAACTTTGTGCCCATGAGGGATTGAATCGAACCCAGATTTCCGATGTGATGAGCGAACGCTTCAACCACAAGGCTACCCAACTGCCCCTGTAGGATGCTTCAAGAATTAAATAAAAAAAAAATTCAACACATGTTCAAATTTTTAACAAAAACATTTCCCTAATAAACCCTTCATCTTGTCAAAAGAGTATCTAGCCCAGATTCCCACTTACTGGACTAGTCCATCTATAGCTTTCACCTTTAAATCCACCACAGAAACATTTTGTGCATAAATGTCTCTTTCTGCTGAACAATCAATTTGCTGATATAAAATACCCAGAGACATGGACACATGTATTACAGCTTGTAAACATAAATATTGACTCTACAAGCAAGGCAAGTTGTATAAAGATTCATAAGAAGGTAGACCGATAGCTTAACTTAAGACACTACATCAGGCAATAGTCCAGTCCTTACACGGTTTACTTTTATGAACACGTTACTGATCATTTTGTCTCAAAAACCTGAACCTGAGATTTGAAATAGAAATGAAAATTATATGAGACTCTCCAATTACTTTTGTATTGTATGAATATGTAGAAGCAACTTACTCACCATTTAAACGTTCCCTAATTTCAGGCTGGTATTTTGTGGAAAGTGGCAGGAATGTTAGCAAGTTTATAGTATTTACATGGAATCTAGGACATGACCTGGTGTACCAGTGAAGGTATAAATAGTCCTTGAACAAATACTGACAGGTGATTGAGCAAGCACCCTTATCTCAGTCAGACATATATACAATTACAAGTCACTGACCAGCTACCTCTTGACAAAGACTGATAGGGAAACAATATATTATTGTTGAGGTTATTATCAGTTTGGCTATAAATTCCTTATTGACTTCTTCACATTGTCTTTTGACCTTGACTGACAAAATGCCCAGACACATCAGAAAGTATTGGAAAACATCAAGGAAATTAACCAGGTCATCAAAATGTTTTAAACGCCACACACAGCAATATTCCAGCTATATGGCCGCAGTCTTTAAATACATGTAATCGAGTCTGGACCAGACAATCAACAACATGAGCATCGTTCTACACAATTGAGATACGATGACATGTGTCAACCAAGTCAGCAAGCCTGCCCACCCGATCTCATTAGTCATCTCTTACGACAAGCATGTGTTGCTGAAGATCTATTCTAACCCGGATCTTCACAGGTATAGACACTATTAGATTACTTTAGATTTTTCATACATATTTGTACAGAAGCAATTCAAAATAACTATGTTAAGGTGAGGTATTTTACATATTCTACACAGATTAGTTGGCATTTTGTTCAGTGAAACAGAATTATTCATCATTGTTATCAGCCTGAGACTATCAGGTTATCATACATATATGTTATCCTAGTAATGACATACAATGGGTTAGGGGTTATGACACAGCGTATCGGGTGTACTATACACAATGATAGAGCACATACTGTATACAATGACACAGCATATATGTGTACTATATTCGATGACACAGCACATATTTCATGAACACGGTACACGCCCTTCACCTTTCATTGAAGAAGCTTTACATTTACCTCTGTTCTGAGGCTTTCATCAATGGCATGTGTTAGTTCATGGATCCGTGATAACAGGTCATGCATGGTCTTGTCCCAGGATGTGTAGTGAATATAGCCATGTCACCTAGCTGACTTATCTTTGAGTGAAGTAACGCAGGGATGACACTGTGTCAGTGAGTGAGTGAGTGAGTTTAGTTTTACGCCGCACTCAGCAATATTCCAGATATATGGCGGCGGTCTGTAAATAATCGAGTCTGGACCAGACAATCCAGTGATCAACAGTATGAGCATCGATCTGCGCAATTGGGAACCGATGACATGTGTCAACCAAGTCACCGAAACTGACCACCCGATCCCCTAAGCCGCCTCTTACGACAAGATAGTCGCCTTTTTATGGCAAGCACATGGGTTGCTGAAGACCTATTCTACCCCGGATCTTCACGGGTCGACACTGTGTCAGTGAGTGAGTCTGGTTCTAGGCTGCTTTCATCAATATTCTAGCTACATCACACAAGCCAACACAGGAAATTCCTGATCCTAAAGCATTTCTGGGTTCTCTGCTGGCTGTAGCTGAGTGCTTTTACCTCGAGAGTATTTTATACAAAACCAGCTGACAATACAAGACATTCACATCGATCAGCCATAGTTACAGTGGTTCATGTAATTATATATGAATGAGTGAGTGAGTTTAGTTTTACGCCGCATTCAGAAATATATTCCACCTATATGGCAGCGGTCTGTAAATAATCGAAACTGGACCAGACAATCCAGAGATCAACAGCATGAGCATCGATCTACCGATGACATGTGTCAACCAAGTCAGCGAGCCTGACCACCTAATTCCGTTAGTTGCCTCTTACGACAAGCATGGGTTACTGAAGATAAAATTCTAACCCGGATCTTCTGGCACCCATTTTGTTCTGGGATTAGTGGGAAGGTAAGGGGGTCAGCAATCATGTACATAACAGTATTAAAAGAAATATTTTCAAACTAGGGGGCCGGGGGCATAATTGTATTTGTACATGACATGCGCCGGGGGACGTACTTTGAACATAACATTGAGGGGGATACATGCTTCACCATACAAATCATCATCATCATCATCATCACACACACACACTCTCCACCCCCGACCTTAAGTTACGAGGATCGAGCTGTAATCAATCTAATTCATCCTCTATTTCATTCTATGCTTCCATATAGAAAAATGAAACAAACTACACTGTACGTGCCACAGGATTCAGCTGATGAAATGGAGGAGTGTATCTAAATTATATTCATCAAATATGACGATAGTCGGAAGCCTGGAGTGGAAGGGTTGCATATGTGAAATGTTTGGGGTTCAGCGAGAGACAACGCTTCAAAGCAGTAATTATTGCATCAGAGGTTTGAAAACATGCGGATTGCAACAAGAGAAACCTTACCTCTCGCTGCCCCTGGTCAGAAATCCGGAAATATCTCGTGTTAAGTGGTGGATGCATATGTCTATCTCAAGTTCTTATCATGCTTGTCATGCCGGTCAGCTAAGTCATGTGACCTGTCAAGTCACGTGATCCAAACGTGACCTGGGCGAATGGATTCTGACAGTTTCACCGCATTTGGACAATATTTCAATTATTTCACTGCGTGTCAGTTTCATAAGGGAGAAAATGCCGACTTACCACAAATGTTGATGAAACTCATGAGCACGGATTTTATGGCGCTGATGAAAAGAAAAATACCCCGGGCGATTCTGGAATTCGAACCTACGATCAAAGGTTTTTTAGCATGTCCGATGGCCAGAAAATTTTGAAATTCTGTTAATCCCTAAAAAGGTGTTGTCTAGCGGTTTGTTAGTTTGTTTATTTGTTTGTTGTTTAAACACAGTGCACAAGGCTAAGCATTAGTCTATTAATGCCTGTGGCCTGGACTAGACAATCCGATGATTGACATCATGAACATGGGTCTCCGCAGTTGGGATACTGTGACAAGCATCAGCTTGGCAGGTCACCGATCCTGTTAGTCGCCTTTCTACCACAAGCACGCGTACGGGTTGCTGAAAAATTACCTGTAACTCAGGTCGTGAATACGTGGCACCAAGCTGTAGTATATGGTTACTGCTGTGGTGGCGTGTGTATAAATATACATGTTGTATACCGTTGTGACGAACTCTGATAACTCGATGTCTCGGTTGTCTCGATATAACATCTCGGTCCCGGCAGAATCCTTCATAATTTATCATTATTCAAGCTCTTTTAACCCGATACGGATGGCTCGATATTTCGGATATCTCGATATAATTTCATGGTCCGAACGAGCAAAATTACCCTTTTTAATTCGATATTTACAAAGCAACTCGATATTCACCTACTTTTCATGGGCAAGTATCCCTCCGAATTGAGGTTGTTTCCACATGTTTACACACGGTGCGGCATGACTCAAAGGGATGCGGTAGTGTAAACTAATTAGGGTTAATTGAGTTGAAGGTGTCACTTGTTTGTTATTTAATTAAGATTAATTAAGAAGGAATTATAGTTAGGATATACTCACTGTTACGACTAAACACTACTGATAACGGATTATAGTTTCGAATCAAAACGTACTGAGAATCCAATGAGGGTTTTGTGTAATCGCAGTTGAGAACGGCAGATGCGTATTATTTGTCGAATCGAGAGATGGAGGGCGAGATGAGGTGTCATTCAAGATGGACACTGTAACATAAGCTGTATCGCGTGTGACTGCGACCACTGTGAGTAAAAATGTATATACAAATATGTATACATGAAATCTAATTTTTGTTTTGTTTTCTTTCATATAGTGATGTGTGATGATATGCCCTGGTCGGATGTGTCGAAGTTCGGATAACTCGGTATTTTTTCTTGGTCCCATGAATATCGAGACAACGGTGCTCGACTGTACTATTACAGTATACACACACTCTACATTAACACCATTCGTATGTTAGTTACATTTAATGTATTCGCAGCTTAAAATGCCCGATCAGGTAGCCAGTAGCCCCCGAACCACATTATTTTCCCTACTGCCAAGCTCTCTCTGCAGTGCTAAAGCCCTAATTAAAGCAAGTCTAGATTTCCTCAGGTTCTGAATCTCTGGTCTCCCTGGGGCTCCTTTTCAATTTAAATGGGCTTGTTTGTTACTATCAAAATTATATATATTCAGAGACGAAGCTTTAGTCTAAGGTAGCCAGGAACTGCACTGTGAACGAGGCAGCCTTGCAAAACAGACAAATACTGATTCTGTGTGGAGAAGGGTATATATATCCTATATCCTTCAGACAATGCGAGTGAAACATGTGTTACGCCACAGTCAGCGGCATCGACGGAGAGTCGTTTATGGAAAGGCAGAACAGCGACGTGGGGTATAGGACACTTTTGGCACCGGTGATGCCCTGTGAGGCACAGGCACTCGTGTCTTTGCGAAGATTAAAGATTAAAAATAATCATTTTTTAGACGACCACCGACTCGAAATGCCACACAGTACAATACATGTCATAATGTATTATACTGTGAAGCATTTTGAGTCGGGGGTCATCTCAAGTCTTATATATTTTCTTAAAATCTTTAATCCTCGCAAAGACACGAGGGCCTATGCTGTGAGGCACATGTGAGTAAAATGGTGAGCAGGTGGCCACAACGGGGACAGGAGACTACATCGGGGATCGGGTGGCCAAAGTGGAGACAGACGCGCGCGTTAACCTGTGCGTTTCAGTTTGGAAATCACCTGGTACCTGCGTTAACGTCGTATCACACCTGCTGCAACAAATTACAGTCATACAAGGGGCGGTGGGGTAGCCTAGTGGATCAAGCGTTCACTCGTCACGCCGAAGAGCTGAGTTCGATTCCCCACATGGGCACAATGTGTGAAGCCCATGTCTGGTGTCCCACGCCGTGATATCGCTGGAATATTGCTAAAAGCGGCGTAAAATTAATCTCACACATTTACAGTCATACAACGCGGTCCTTACTTCAAAATCAGCACCCGTACAGTTCACAGGGAATTTATACACGAAGGTGGACTCTTAAGACTTTGGTACACATGTATTTTACAGGGTTAATTGCATTGTTTGGCGTGAAGAGACGCTATTAGCACCCTAATCGTCCGTGTGTTTTTTGTGAGCACAAACCCGTCACGTATATATGATTTACCTGCAGGGTTGACGTCGAACTTTGAGTGTTTCTTCCCCATGATTCGGTCTATAGCTGTCGGACGGGCAAGATGGCGGATGGCGGACCTGCAAGATGGCGGGGATTCGTCACAGAGGCTCAATCACACACCATTCACAAACTTAATCTGAAAAGAAAAAGGAAAACAATGTATATGTAAGTTCTTTATGTTTAACATTGTCCAGACACTGCCAATATTTGGTCTATTCAGTTAAAGATATTCTATTGTACCACCAGCTCGTAATTTGAGTCTTTCCCAGTCAAACCGGTGATTGATAGTATAGCAGTGTTCCTCGATGTCAGACTACGGTGCCGCATTATCAGAGATGCCATAGAGCCTGCCTACACAAGATGTCATCAAGATCCTGGTCTCCACCGACCGTAAGAGACGACTAACGGGATCGGGTGGTCAGGCTCGCAGACTTGGTTGACATATGTCATCGTATCCCAACATGTAGATCGATGCTCATGATGTTGATCACTGGAATGTCTGGTCCAGACTCGATTATTGAAACACCGCAGCCATATAGGTGGAATATTGCTAAATGCGGCGTTACACAACAAACAAACGTTAGAGGCGACTAATGGAATCGTTTGGTCAGTTTCTTCCCTGGGGAGCATACAAGCCAAGCTGCCTTAGATATGCTAGAAGGTTAAGTCACATTTGCACCCTTGTCCTACCTGGTACTCACTCACTGCTGGCTGAATAGCCTCCTTTCCAAAAACGTCTGGGGTCTGAGAGACACAACATGTTAAGTGTTTTCATTGACAGAAGACCTGAAGCCCTAAAACCTGTTCACTCATCCCCTTAATTGATTTGTGACCACGTGACGCATATCACCCCGTGAAGGCGTGGTTTGACAGGTGTAAAGCAAGTCGTGACATACTGCTGACCCGTTCACCTAATGTTAACTCGCCAAGAATATATATAGGCCTCGGTATGTCAGGACTAGACCCGTGGTCATGGGCCTGGTAAATATCATCGACCCCGTCATGGGTATGTACCGTTTTTTGGCGACATTTTTAGTTAACATTTACACGCTGAACGGAACTGACAATAAACCTACCTGAAGAGCAAGCTGTTGAAACAGTAATTCATACACAAGTCTCAGCTGACATCCTTTCTCACCCGATATGCATGTTCAGGTCAGAATATATGAACTGCAGATTTAAAACAGTCCGAGAAAATTACACCTCCGGGTTGTTTACTTCAAGTAAACATACCGAGACAAGTCCCAGTGAGCGTCTTGATCGTGTAGCACAGACACGATATATAAACAGTGGTTGTGTGCATGGTGTACTCTTGTCATTGTAAGTCACACTCGCAGTCAGTCCTCTTGTGAATGGTTGACTCACACATGTATTAAGGTTAAATAAAAATAACTCCATAAAGGAAACCGTGAGCATTAAGTAATATTCGTGTCTCTTGATTTGAATGGGGATGGATACAGGTTCAAGTAGCTTAAGCTAAGAAAGGAGTGAGTGTGGTTTTACGCCGCTTTTAGCAATATTCCAGGAATATCACCGCGGGGGACACCAGAAAATGGGCTTCACACATTGGGGAATCGAATCCGGGTCTTCGGCGTCACGAGTGAACGCTTTAACCACTAAGCTATCCCACCGCCCAGAAGTCAGAAGGGAGTTGGGGGGTTGGGGGAGGAGACACTTTTTTGGCCGATCTTTTAACCAGTAATGGTTGCCCTAGCCCGGAAGTACGACGGGGTCCAGGACTTCCGCCGGAAGACAGACAGGTGAGTGAGTGAGTTTAGTTTTACGCCCCACTATGGCAGCTGTCCTTGCCACTATATTCCACCTATATGGCGGCGGTCTATAAATAATTAGGTCTGAACCAGACAATCCAGTGATCAACAGCATGAGCATCAATCTACGCAATTGGGTTAGAGACAGGTGAACGACGGCTTACGCTGTTTGATACGATCCAGCTGTATAGCAGCTAGTGAGTATAATTTTATTCTGCCTTTAACTAGTTCAAGTGATATCACATGCAGGGAATCGAAGCGGGGTATTTAGTGTGGTGAGTGAATTTATTAAACACATAGTTTTTGGTTGTAATAGTTCATTATCTGGGTTCAAATTGACAGCTTGACACGTACAGTGGAAAAGATGTGAATTGACATGAGAATACTACTCCATCAACATCCCAGTATAACGTTCTACAACACCTGGCTACTGCTAAGCGTCAGCTGGAGGGATTCGCTGTACTGCCAAGGGCAAGGTCAACAGTTATCTTTTCGCGGACGATTAGTTTACCTTCTGAACAGGTTTCTGTGTGCGAAGAAAATTAGATATTTTGTGAAATGGGTACCGTCCACAGACCAGTCAAAGCAATCCAGTCACCGACCAAAGTACAATCCTAACTGAAACACAAATCCCGTGCATCGCAGACGTTCAAGACACACGTTTTTCACGTGCATCGTCTTACCCTTGCTAGCTGAATTGGCAAAATAGCGGTCACCCCATCCCATTTGTAGCAGTCAGTGAGAATGGCCGCCCCTGTGGTCTAGTGGAAAGTGAGTGAGTTTAGTTTTACTCCGCTTTTAGCAATAGTCCAGCAATATCATGGCGGAGGACACCAGAAATGGGCTTCAAACATTATACCCATGTGGGGCATCGAACCCGGGCTTTCGGCGTGACGAGCGAACGTTTCATCCACTAGGCTACCCAACCACAGGTCTAGTGGAGAAAGCATCTATGCGGAGAGAGGAAAATCGACGGTTCGATCCCCTGCCGTGGCATACCTAAAGATCATACTTGTTGTTACTCTGCCTGGCGCCCGGCTTTTAAGGTGATGGAACCACGACTGGCAGGCTCGGAGTCTGTATGATGTGTCCGAGTGTGGCACCCATGTAAACCTGCGGCAGGGTATCTCAGTGGGCTGACAGTACCACCCGGCATTAGTACAACCACAGCTAGCTATAGTCTGTACTAATACAACCGCACATGTGTTTGCACGTCGCGATATTATACAATTATAGACTCTTGTAGAGGTCGATATCGGTTTTTATTGACCTGACAAGAGTCTATAATTGTTTTATTATATAATGAAAGAGAAACGGGTTTTAACATAAACTTTTAATGCACCCACTGTGCCATCTATCCGAGTGATCTGATTGGCTGAAAAGCGGGGGAAGCCCCTTCGTACGGGATTCCTTGTCTAATTTTAGTAACCCAAGTCAATATCGTAATTTATCAGAAAACTCAAGTCAATATCGTGTTTTGTAGTCAATCATGTGACGGTATTTTGACCAATCGTGGTACAGGAAAAATACTACCTATATAATAAAAGTAAATCTAAACCTGAACTCGACATTAAACCCCACTGTCCTCAACCTCACCTCGCCTTGGTTGCTAACCCCAGGTGTACAGTTAGATTTAAAGCGTCATCTTTCGGGACATCACCACAGCGGTATGCACGTGCACATTTGTCACCTACTATTACGTCACACACAATCCTGTATGTCAGGGTGTGACGTTGCTTTGATGTTTACCGACACCCCGTACAACATGCCTCAGTAGGAGTCTGCCTTCATGGCGGTGTACCTATCCAGGGTGAAAATCATGACAAATGGCTTGATAAGCACTGTTTTTCCAAGGAATATTGCGTGTTGACTTGGTTCCAAATATCCCATCCTTGTTATCACATTGGTCTTTGATGTTGTTTACGACGTAAGGGTGAGGTGAGGTGAAATTGGGTTTAACGTCGTACTTGAGAATAATTCGTTCATATGACGACGTGCATGCGTGTGTATCTGTATGGGCGGCTGCTTGTACTAGCCCAGATTTAAGCTGGTTTTATAGTGCTAGCCCACTGAGATACCATGCCGCAGTGAAGCATGAATACCCACTCAGACACATTATACTGACTCCAATCCGACCAGTCCTTGTTGTACCCATTAATGCCGAGCGCCAGGCAGGGACCAACAAGTACCATATTTTAACGTCTTTTGGTTCGGAGTCAGTATAATGTGTCTGAGTGGGGTATTCATGCTTCACTGCGGCATGGTATCTCAGTGGGCTAGCACTATAAAACCAGCTTCAGTCTGGGCTAGTACAAGCAGCCGCACATACGGTGACAGGCCGGGAAAGCCACATTTCAAAAATGACTTTTGCCGGGAAGGCCACATTTCAATTACATGGCTGTAGCCGGTAAAGCCACATTTCCAATAGATTAAATTAATTAATGGATTACCGTAACCGGTAAAAGAGTGTCCCCATGTATAATATTGTTTTCACAAGAAACTAATCATCTTTCCTACTCATAAGCGTGGTGTTTAGCTTCTTCACTCAGAGTTTATTACTCAAAATGGAACCACCTCCGGTGGTATATGAGTACATAAAATGGAATACAGAATATACAAAGTACTAGTACTAGTATGCAAGAGGGTGACAGGGAATATACGCAATGATTACTGAAAACTAGAACATATACATTTGATAAATTTAGATAGGTGTTTGATTGTTGAAATTTTAGTAATTGACATCAATTTTTCTATATGTAGAGAAATTAGGGAAGGAACAAGAGCTATCTTCTAGGTGAGAGAAGCGTTGTTGGCTAAAATGTGAACATCTAAAGATGTAATGGAATTCATCCCCAGTTAACTGCGAATTACAAAGGTTACATACTCTTTCTTTTCATGCGACATTCGTCCATCTCTCACTTTCTATTGGCAATTTATGGTTAGATGTTTTAAAATATAGAATAGGTTTCCAAATATTTTTCAGCAGTAAGTATTTGTCGAGTGAAGGTGAGATTTTAAAAATCTTATTTCGTGATATTATTATTGTAATAAATATGTAATATACCTATTAGTATATTATATTGTGCTAATTATAGAAACAAAACCTGTTGTGATCTGAATAAAATTATGAGGAAACATGTCTTGTTTTGTTAAATACGGTAGCCTGTTTGAATCACTAAGCATGTTTTGACAGCATAGCCGGGAGAGCCACATTCCATGTTCACGCAACCATAACTATTGCCGGGAGAGCCACATCAATTTAGGCTATCTGTTTCGGAAATATGGCTCTCCCGGCCTGTAACCGCACATACACATACACACGCATGCACGTCGTCATGTGAGCGTAATATTCTCAAGCACGACGTTA